ATTTTATCGGTTTTGAAAACAAGGTGTTATTCACTTTGGAATAAAATCGCTCCGAAAGGCCCCTTGTTTTATTCATATTTGCTTCACAGTTCCTGTCATCAGATGACAATTTCCAAGTTGTTGGAAGCAAAAGGTTGATTGCCTTGATTCATACTGTACATGCGTTTATTTAGTCATTTTCATAGCAAATGGAAAAAAAGTTTAATTGAAGTTGTTCTTGATGTAACAGCCGTATGTTTAATCTTGGCACCTTTTAACCTTAATTTGTCAGCCTAAAAAGCTTTTTTGCAAAAAAAGAGTGTGGAGTGTTTTTTTAGCACCCTTTGTGTCAAACAGTACAGATGTGTTATTATTGCAACACTTTACTTACTGAAACGCACGTTCCTCACTTTATAAAATGAATTCCTTTTGTATTCCAAGTTCAAACTATCAAGCCTTAGAAAAATCGTGTTTGAAATTGCAAAAAGAGTCAAACAAACCAAACAAACAGAAAAAACGACATGTTTACATGCGACAGTACAAGTTAATTTAAGCCAGCAGTTTTGTTGGGAGTATTTTAATCGGCGTGTTTTCATATGTTTTCACCTTTTGATTGACGTTTTATTCACCGCGAGCAACTAAGTGATGTACTACAACATCCATTGTCTTATTTTGTAAGTGTTTACTCATCTTCCGTGAGGGATGTGCACTGAACTCACGGAATTGAGTTGTAATGGTGTACCAACTGGTTTCCTAAAGCCTTGATTCTAAGACCATACAGCAGGATTTTCTTTGCCTCACTTTTGAACTGATAACGTCTGAAAATAAATACAAAACCTTTTCTACTAAGAGCAGGAATTAATCGGCGTTAAGTTACGCTTAATGTAAATCGGTTTCTTTTTCTCTCCTGTAACATCGAGACTAAGTTAGTTCCCTTAAAATGAATATCAAATTTAAGATCAAACTGTTAAAATCTATTTTCCTACTTCCAAGTAAAACGCTCAAAGAAATAATAATTGTCTCTTAGGATGAAGCGTGCACAGAGGAATAACTCCAGTTCAGTGCTTTTATCCGAAAAGGGAATTTGAAACCGCAAACCCATTTTCCGATATTAAAATTGTCCATGATATATTGATCGATATGTATAGCATTTCAATAATTATATATTGCAGTTCTACGTCATTCGGGTTTCAAGATATACATTTCATTAATCCTATATTTTACATATTTCTTGCATTTGCCAATTGATTGCATATGTTATGTTTCAATTCGGTTGTCCATCATGATCTTCATTCGAATCTCGAGCTCGGCACAGGTCCTCTAATGTACCTATCGGACTAGTTCTTTAAGGTCCTCTTCACTAGATTGCATAAATAACATCCCGTTACGCTTGCGGCCAGTTATCCTCCGCGACACATAATTCTGTCTTCCCTCCTGTCTACCTCCATTAAGGCTCCCCTCAAAGTAAAGATGGATGATGTTGGTGGAGGTTTCGTTCAGGTGTAGCCTATTCAACTCCATTTTCTTTTCCGAGTTTCTCCTGTTTGTTACTCTGACACAGGTCCTCTAAGTTATTCTTGGTCGACTTTTATAATCCGTCTCTTCCATGTCAACCATGGAAACATGAAATATTAAAATTTATGCTATATTTCATATTTCATATTTCTGAATTGAAGACCGAGTTTTTGTTAATTTCGTAAATCAACCTTAATAGGGATAACAGTGCCCGACACTTCAAATTTGCTGAGCACAAATGTTTATTTTGGAGATTTTACGGTGGGGATCTCTATGATCAACCGTCAGAATTTCATCATTTTTTACAACAATAATAAAATTAGAGAAAAACTGTGTGTTTGAAAAACATCCTTGTAAAAAGACAGTGCCATGGGAATATTGAGTTCCAAGTTTCGAGTTCATTATGGCCGCAACAGTCTTAAACTTACACGCGTTCAAATTTGGTACGGACCCCAAGGGCTTTCTCGTATCCGGTCCGGACGCGCTTGGTACTATAGAAGACAACAAATAACGCGTGAAACAAACACAAATATCTCTAGATATTTGTACTCTTGTAGACTGTTTTAACATTTTACTATTTGTACTCTACTAGACTGTTTTAACTATTTTCTGTAGGCTTCTTATTTGTTCTAGCCATGGGAGTATTATTAAACAAAGCTCAATATGTCAAGCAAATCATCTCTTATTTGACATTTAAGTGTTTACTATTGCTGTGAAATTTTACCCTCCATTTGAATTTCCACTCTACGATCTCTTCAAACACAACTCGAGACACGCTGAAATATTCAATACTCTCTCTTTCCAAGTTTTTGAACAATGGTTACCATTGTTGAACGCCTTCTTCTGCTTCGCCGTAAACAGGCATCACGCCACGTTCCATAAGGCTTAAAATGTCCTTTGATATTTCGCACAGTCTGTCACGTGATTACGGGATGGCTTCTTGTGATGGCGCCAGCTCGAGACTCGAAGAATGTTTGCAGCAGAATATGCGCGATAAAAATATGACGTACCTATGACGAAACTGTTTGTTCATAACTCCATAAACAACTGGGTTTATACAGCTATGCAGCCTTGTTAGTATGTCACAAGCAAACCAAAGTTCATCGGAGGAAATATTTCTGAAATCTAACAACATCCAAGCCACTTGAGTTGGCAATAAAAGAACCAAGAATAAT